GGGACCACCGAGGCAGTCCAGGTTCCCAAAATATACCTTAAACTACACATCTGTCCCTGAGAGGCCCTAGGGCAGTTGTTCTAGGGCTGTTGTTCTCAACCTTGCTATGTATCAGTATGACCTAGGAAGCTTGTTAAACTGAAGGCACTTAGGCACCACCCCTAGAGAGCCAGCGTGAGTAGGTCGAGGATAGGACCCACATACCTGCAGTGTTAAACTTGACACAAGGTGAGTCTGGTACAGGTGGTCAGTGACCCACACAAATATTGACACAGAGGTATTGTTGAAGACATTTCTGGCCTGAGGCAGGGCAGAAACTACACACCTATCTACGTTTGAAGGCTCTACGTTTTGCCTTCAGGTAGAGAAGGGTAAATAGAGGTCAAGATCCCGCGGAGAGATGCCCACTCAAATGTCTGCCCTGACATCTTGCTTCTTTGAGTCTTACCTGACCTCCAAAGCTATTACCCCAGATTGTGGGCCTTCCCAATCTCTCCATCTTGGAATCTACCTCCATGCTCAGGTGAGCTCATTGGATAGAACCCTGGGTTTCTGGACCCCCTTTCCTTGACCTCCAATGGCCGCCTCTCTGTCAAAAGGCTGGCAGGATGATTATGGGCCGATCTTCCTAAAACAAGTGTTGAAAGAGCCACCAGTTTGTAGCCAAGGAACTGAGTTCTAGTCCCAGTTCCACTGCTGGGTGGCTGTGTGACCTTAGGCAAGTCATTTGACCTTGTCTGACATGGTTCCCTCAAGTAAAATAAGAATAACATCTCTCCTGCTTACTTCATGGACTGGTTATGAGGCTAGGCATATGGTGAAACCAAAGTGTTTTACAGTCTCTCAAACACGGTATCATGACTCTAGCCGTAATGATTTCCTCTGGGTTTGGCCTGAGAGCCCATGCCCCATCCTACCCCAATCCCAGATGTTTTTCCGGCAAGGGTTTGCTCCTAACCATCCCTCTATAACTGGAGAAGTCCGAGGCCATACCCAGATCACTTCCTTTCCATCTAGCACTCGGTGGAGGCCTTCCTGCCCCCGGAATGATGGAGTATGAGAGGAGGGTGCCCCATGCTGGTTAGCTGCAGGGCCTATGCACCAGTCAGATCCCCTGTGAAGAAACCAGGTCTTTCTAGCAGCTGTTTTGAAGTGCCTGAGCGTCTAGGTGGATGGGCAAGAGGGAGCGGGGACCACGCTGCTCACCATGGGACGAGGCCACCGATCGGGTCCCGGGAGTCACCGCGCAGCAGGCGGCTCCTGGAAATAAAACACAGAGCTGGAGCTCTCCCAGGAGCTGCAGGAGAAACTGGGGCAGCCTTGAGACTCAGGAAATGAGGCCAGCGTGTTCTCAGCAGAACGGACTGTTATTCTGCTGACACGTGGGACCAACCCCAGTCTCTCATGTTTCTCATATTCAGGTGACACCAATTGGTTTGTTGACAAAAGGCAGCATATTGGAAAGACCTGTGACTCCCTCGGTCCATATCAAGAGGTTTGGAGAGAATCGTGTTTCCTGCTCATCATGCCCTTGGCTTAGAGCCAAGAGCTCAAGTCAGCATCTTCCAGTGAATTGAATTAGTCCATTCAAGGCTGAAGCCAGGAGTGTACAACTGCTTGTTTATCCCTCCTCCTCTGTGTTAGGCAGGCTTTCGCTAAATGATAAGAGATCTATTCGCCCTAAGATCATAAGAAATTTCAATTGTGTAGCTCAGTTTGTGTTTTTTGTTTATGACTTCCAAAACCATCCCTTGGAACTCATTAAGGACCCAGCCTGATAGAACTCTCCCCATTCCTGCCTGAGGCTGCTTGCTCCCTGAAATGATGTATAGGCCCATTATACTTGCCACACAAGGAAGAGCGTATCCCAGGAGTCTCCGCTCTGATCCGAGAGCACTTACCTTCTCTTGCAGCCGTTCCAACATGGCAGCCAGGTGAGCCTCCCGGTTCTCCTTATTGGATTCCATCTTCTGGGCCAGTTTTTCCTTAGCCATCTTGATGAAGTTGTTGTTTTCCTCAATGGCTTTTTGGATCACCTCCCGCTCATGTTCTCGTTTCTCCGCCAGGTGCTTTAGGAGCTCAGCCTCCTGGTACTAGGGAAGTACAAAGGGAGAAAGAGACTCTTGAAGGTGAGCATGCCAGGGATATTTTTACCATCATGACTGAAGAGCTCCACACCCAGAACACACCCCTCCCTGAGCTGGGTCTCTGGGCCATTGGCAGGAAGCAAAGACACTTCCTGGGTTCTCCCACCATACACTCAGTTGTCTTTTTCTCATTGCCATCATTCATTCATTCATTCACTCATTCATTCATTCACAATTACTAAGTGACCATATACTATGTGCCAGGCAGTATTCTAAAAACTTGGGAAAGAAAAAAGTATAGTGTAGATAAGACATACATATATAAACCTAACCCAGACTAGCATGCAACATATGTCTCAAGAGGTAGAGAGGACGTGCTGTAGGGACTCAAGGGAGGAGAAGATTATTTTCTGCTTGAAAGATTGCGAAAAGCTTACACAACGATGCCATCAGAGCTGGGCCATAAAGAATCAATAGGGGGGCCGGCCGAGTGGCGCGATGGTTAAGAACTGGCTTGGGATGCCAGAGGGCCCCGNTCACTGCAGCAGGCGATGAGAAGGTATAGAAAAAGATCACACTCCTCCAATTAAAAACATTTCCTGGAAATCATAGGTACTATTTCCATGTCCTGGCCCAAAATCAGTAAACTGACAACACCTAGCAATAGGGGAGGGTGGGAAGTATAGAGTCTTTATCTAAAGTTTTATTATGCAAACAAAACACATACTCATGAAATAGACTCCCTGCAATTAAAATGACTTTTGATAATTTGAAGTTATGCTCAAGGCAAATTAATGTGCAATATATTTAGCATTAACTAGTTACTCTACCTTCAAGCATATATTTTCATATGTTTTTATAGCTAGGGCTTAAATTTAACTCAATCATGTTAGGATATGATTGCAGCCACTACTTTTGAGATTGCCTATGTCTACTTTTAGCAGGATTGTTCTCCCCAGCTTGGGTTATTAAACACGGGGACCCAATACCCTCTAATGGTGTTAATGAAAAACAGCTCATAAGCAAGTCATGTAACTTAATTGTAGTCAAGAAATCAGCTTCGTTATGTTATTTAAAGAAATCCCATCTTAAATTCAATGCCCCAAACTGAATCCTCCCCTACAGAAATTTCCCCTCCTCCCGTATTCTCATCTTAACCACCTTCTGCCCATCTGCTCAAGCCAGAAACCTGGAAATCTCTCCATTTAGCCACCAAATTCTGCTGAGTCTTCCGGTTTCAATCCTCCCCTCTAGCCCCTTACCATCACCCTCTTAGTTCAGACTCTCACCCTGCCTGGTCTCCTCCTATACCTTCCCCATTGGCCTCCCTGCTGCTGGTCACAGCCCCTTCCTCTCTGCTGTCAGGATGGCCTTCCTAATTACAAGTGTACTGCTCCCTTGCAATAAGGAGTGTAAATCCTCCTTACCACTCACAAGACCATGCCCAGACTCCTTAACTTTCACCCCTCCTGGCCACCTGACGAATCTGGACCCTGCGATCCCTTTACCTCCAGCTTCCGAGCATCCCCTTGTTACCATAAATCCTTGCTTTAGGGAGACACTTGTCACTTCCAGAATGCCACGTGGCATTCCCACCCATGGACCTGATACTGTTCTTTCAGTCAGGAAGGCTCCTCACACCCCCCTCCCCCACCCTTCCCTTCCCATCCTCTGCCTGCCTGACCTGTTCTCCTAGTTATCCTCCAAAAGTCAGCTCAGACATCACTCTTCTGAGCAACCTTCTCTTCGCCCTCACCCTCCTCCCACTCTACTTCACTCCCTTAAAACAGAATACTTTTCATTATATGACTTATCACAATATTAAACTCTCATCTAGATTGCAAGACATTTTAGAATAAGAATTTTTACTGTGTTTGTATTCGTATCCTCAGAAACTTGCACAATGCTAACACATAATCGGATCTCAATAGAATGAAAAACTAAACACATAAATTAGCATTTTGGTGTGTTTATGCCTGTATAATTTCCTATGGTTGAGAATTACTGAGTGATATATAATTTGGTAACCTGTTTTTCCACTTAAAATTATAAAATGTTATTTTTATTTCAAATGGGTTGCCAAATCAGGCTTCCTATAATATTAAAAAATTTTTATAAATAACCATTGTAGAACAGTCCCACACTTTTTAAATTATTTCCCTACTGCTAGACATTCATCATAGTTGCATTTTTATCTTACATTTAACACTTTGAGGAACACTATTGTCCATAAATCTTTGTGTTTCAGAATATTTCTTTAAAATAAATTCCTAGAAAGAAAGTAGCTAAATCAGTGAGTGGGTATGGACATTTTTAAGGGTCATGTTACATACTGCCAAATGGTTTGCTAAAATGGATGAACCCACTTGGATTCACAAAAGCAGTACATGAGAGTGGGCACCACATTTTAAGAAAGATATAGGCCAACTAGAAAGCATCTATAACAGAATGAAACAAATTTGTGAATTTGTAAACAT